CCTCCCCCCCTCCCCCTCTTTCTCTGTATTATATATTGGTAGTGATCAGTGTGCTGGGGCTGTTGGCTGGCTTGTTGGGGCGATTGGGATGGGCGCGGGGTTGTGGGACTGGGGTAGGGTGGAGGGGACTGGGCCGTGGTTAGAGGGATTGGGGTGGGGTTAGAGGGGTTGGGGTGGGGTTAGGGGGATTGTGGCGGGTTTGGGGGGATTGTGGCGGGGTGTTAGGGGGATTGGGGTGGCGTTGGGGTATTTGGGGTGTTTGTGGTGTTGGGGGGTCAGTGATGGTGCTCAGGTGAGGATTTTAAAGTGAGTGTTTTTTGGTTCTGATAGTGAAGCAGTGTAAAATTAGCACACTGCGACATTAGCGTGAGGTTTGAGCGCAGCCTGAGCCTCTTCCTGATTATGGCCATGATTGATCAGGACTCTGGCTGCTGATGATGTCATTGATTAGCGGTGAGCTGAGCGTGCATGTCGTTCAGGTCATTAAGTCGGCAGGTTTGAGTGACCCGTCGTCCTGATGGAGGCGAGTGATGCTGACTGTCCAGCGTGTGGCGTTGCGTGTGTTTACCCTGCTGAAGTGTGTCCACACAGGCCGGCGTGACGTGCTGCGCGTATTCTGTCCTTAACGTGTCTGTACTGCGATATCGTGTGTGCTGCGTGTGCTGCGTGTGCTGCGTGTGCCTCGTGTGCCGCCGCGCTGGCGTTTCAGCTCCTCAGACGCTGACAGCTCCGCGCAGCAGATCTGGGACGTGATTTCCTTCAAAGCTCATCTCAGGATCGGCGACGATCTGCTGCGAAGGTTCCGCTCCCTCCGGAGTTCTGCGCTCAGAGCCGTTCCGCCGCGTTCTGACAGCTCAAAGCACACCGTCCCCTGAAACACATCGCTCCTGACGTCCTGCCGCTCGGCATTCTGGGTAGACGCCGTTCATGCCGTTTCTTTCGGGTGATGTCAGGATTTGTGCTGTGGCCCACGATCCCTCACTCTGAGGAGCAGATACAGCACTGCGTAAAAATAGAGCAGCAGAGAGACACACACACACACACACACACACACACACACACACACACACACACACACACATTAAACACACACACACACACACACTCACACATTAAACACACACACACACACACACACACACACACACACACACACACATTAAACACACACACACACACACACACACACATTAAACACACACACACACACACACACACACACTCACACACACACACACATTAAACACACACACACACACACACACTCACACACTCACACATTAAACACACACACACACACACACACACATTAAACACACACACACACACACATTAAACACACACACACATTAAACACACACACACACACACACACACACACACACATTAAACACACACACACACACACATTAAACACACACACACATTAAACACACACACACACACACACACACACACATTAAACACACACACACACACACATTAAACACACACACACATTAAACACACACACACACACACACACACACACTCACACATTAAACACACACACACACACACACACACACACACACACACACATTAAACACACACACACACACACACACACTCACACATTAAACACACACACACACACACACATTAAACACACACACACACACACACACACATTAAACACACACACACACACTCACACATTAAACACACACACACACACACTCACACACACACACACTCACACATTAAACACACACACACACACACACACACACACACACACTCACACACATTAAACACACACATTAAACACACACACACACACACACACACATTAAACACACACACACATTAAACACACACACTCACACATTAAACACACACACACACACACACACACACACACACACACACTCACACATTAAACACACACTCACACTCACACACACACACACACACACACACATTAAACACACACACACACACACACTCACACATTAAACACACACACACATTAAACACACACACACACACACACACTCACACACACACACACACACACACACATTAAACACACACACACACTAACAATACACACACACACACATTAAACACACACACACACTAACAATACACACACACACACACACATTAAACACACACACACACTAACAATACACACACACACACACATTAAACACACACACACACACATTAAACACACACACACACTAACAATACACACACACACACACACATTAAACACACACACACATTAAACACACACACACACACACACACTCACACACACACACACACACACACACATTAAACACACACACACACTAACAATACACACACACACACATTAAACACACACACACACTAACAATACACACACACACACACACATTAAACACACACACACACTAACAATACACACACACACACACATTAAACACACACACACTCACACTCACACACACACACACAAAAGAATTCAGTAAAGTTTTGTGAGTTCTCTGCGTTTTGTTGAGTTGTTTTTCCGTAATCCAAACAGCCCAGTTTGATTGATCATATCTGGAAAGCACAATAAACCCCGAGAGCAGCTCCACTGGGGGCCTTGAATTCAGGCTAACGGACCTGAGAAGCTGTAAGCCTTGGCACTGCAGGCTCGTGTGCAGACGGATCAGGACTGCAGATGAAGTGTAATAGCTGTGACGCTGTGCCAGGTTCTCCTCAGCTCCTCAGCTCCTCCACATTAATGCCCTCAGCTTTCACCCTCCTCAGCTCATAATCACCGTCTCAGCAGCGCTGTTTAGGTTTACCAGCGTTCAGCAGACGCTCTTATCCAGAGTGCTTTACTCCAGCGCTTTGTTGTTTACCTGGAAACTGATCCGTAAGCTCCTGCAAACAGGCCAGAGTCCAGGCGCACCTCCGAGCCGAGAAGCCGGTTGGAGCAGGAGTCTGATACCCACACTACAGATTACAGGGTCGCAGGAGTCGTCTTCACTCAACTGCCTCAGTGGAGAAGGTCTTCACTCAGTGAGGGGCTCTGCTGTTCGGAGGAACTCCGCTCCACCACCTGAGCTCCAAAACCGTCTTAATGCTTGTCTTGAGGGGATCTTGAAGCGGGGATTTGACCGTTGCTGGGAGGTGGACGTCCAAGATAACAAGGCTTTGAGCATTTTGGGGCTGCAAGACCACATAGTGAACGGTTCTTCAGATCGATGGGGAATGTGTTGTATATGGTTCTGTGTAGCACCACAAATGGTTCTGCTGTTGTTAGGGTTTGGTGCTGTATAGAGCCATTTTCAAAATCAGCAACACATTCTCCATCAATCTGAAGAACCATTTGACCATGCAGAGAACGTTTCAAGCATGGAAATGGATCTTGGACTGTTCATGGTTCTATAGAGAACCATTTTTTTCTAAAGAACCCTTGAAGAGCTGTCTTTTTAAAGAGTGTAGCTATGGAAGAAAAACCATGAGGAGATACAAATAGAAGGAAAACAGAAGAGGGCTGAGCACTGAGCCTTGAGGAACTCCTTTCTAACGTTTCAATAATGGATCATAAAGAACTGTTACAAATAAATGCTTAGGAGAAACTGTAAATAATAAATTATATTAATAATTACTTCTGGTTAAAATTAACAGTTAAAAATGGAAAATTGTAATTTCAGCTTTTTTTTTGTGCTTCATGTTTTCCAAAACACTTTTCCAGTTTCTCTCTTTACCTTTAGTGTGTTTTATCTTTTTCTGCATGTAAACGTTCTGCAGCGTCCCAAAGCTCAGCGTTCCCTCCAGAGGGAGAAACTCTCTCCCACAGAACCCACTTTTCTCAGCTGCCTGAAACGCCTCGTTGGAATTCCAGTCCTTTTCCTTTGTTACAGGATGACATCATCTCATAACACAGTCCTTACTGCCCGCCTACCGGCGAGCTCCGCCCCCTCACACAGCGCACAGCGGCTACTGGAGGAGGAAGAGTGTGTTCAGTGCTGTAGCGTGTGGAGAGACGCTGACCGGACTTTCAGGATCCACTCTGGATCGAACTGATCCGGCAGAACCGGCGCCGCTGGAGAAACAGTTACAGCTGCTCAGGAGAGAAGGGTCTGTCTGCAGACTGCAGGACAGGGGCGGAACATGGGGGGGGGACCGCTTTGGAGGCTGACTGATCATAACAGAGTGGGCGAGCTGACCAATCAGAGCACACTGGGCACATCGGGAGGCGGGGCTTAAAGACACAGGAGCTCTACCAGAGCGTTTCAGACAGAGGGTGAATAGAGATGAACAGTGTGAGGAGAATAAAATTGAAGTGTGTGAATCTGTTCTAGACCATCTTCTACATGCACTCTGATAAACGAGGCTCCTGGTCTTTCAGCATGGAGCTCCTCGGTATCTCTGCGCTGGTTTGAAGCCAGACTGGTTGAGTTCTCCTTCTTTCCCATCAGTTCCTTCCTTTCCTTCTCCTTCTCCACATACTTCTCTTCCTTCCCCTTCAATTCCTTTCCTTTTCCTCTCTCGTCTCTTTCTACCTTTTCTCCTCTTTCATCACCTTCTTCAGCTCCAGTTCCTTTTTCTCCTTCTGTTGTTTCTCCTTCTTCTCCATCACCTTCATCTGCTTCACTGCTCTCTCCTTCCTCTTTCAGCTGCTGGGCCGTCAGACATTGCGCTGTTGCCACGACAACAAAGAGATATCGGCAGGCGATATCTTAATTGAATCTGCTCTATTCTTGTCTTCTGTGCTGCTCCTCTTCTGATTGAATGTGATCCTGATGAATCTAACAAGCGTTTCATTTCGCTTCATTAGATTAATGATAACTCGTCTGGGAGCAGCTCGCTAACGACCCATCGGTCAGCTGTGAGGAGCCCGTGTTTAATGTGGACGTTAGTTAGCGGATGGGGGTGGGGGGTGTATTTGGATGTGTGTGTGGGGGGGGTGTTGGAGGGGGGGTGTAGTGCTAGGGGTGTGTGTGGGGTTCGTAGTTTAATGTGTCTTTCAGGCCCGAAATGTCAGTACTGGTGAACTGGCTGCCATCAAAGTGATTAAACTGGAGCCCGGTGAGTTACCATTCACATAGCGCCACCTCCCTGCTGAACACCACCACTACACACACTACACACAGCGCCACCTACCTGCAAATATAGAAATAGGTATCAGTCTTAAAAACCCTATATTGCTTGGGCTCTAGTTAAGATAGTCTTGAAACCTCTCTTGGATTTTGGAACTTTGGAATCTTGGAATGTTGGACTAGGGTCCTGGTTTATCTCCTGTCACTAACAGACAATATTTAACTTAAATCCAGACAAACACATCCTCCATTCTTTACATTCATTACAGACCCCAGGGGTCTTTTTTTAAAGGTTCTATACTAATGAATAAGAATATTATTATTATTATTATTATTTATTGTTAAGGATGGAACTCTAGTTTTATCCATTTTCTTGGGAATGTCTGCTCAGACTGGTGACCAAGCAACAACCAAAGAGTTCTCTCCTAGACATTTAAAAAAGATGATTCTTCAAGGGTTCTTTAGTAAAGGAAATGGTTCTGTGTAGAACCATGAACACTCAAAGAACCCTTTGTATGACTAAAGGGTTCTTTGCACTGTTAAAGTTTTCTTCAGATTGATTGAGAATACGTTGTATATGGTTCTATATACAACCTTTTTAAGAAGTGTTCTTTATAGCACCAGTAAGGGCCCTTCTATTCTCACAGACTTGACATCGTAACAATAGCAGAACTCTTTGTGGTGCTACATAGAACCATTTACAGAACTTGGGGATTTTAGAATCTTGGAATGTTGGACTAGGGTCCTGATTGATCCCCTTCCTCACTAATAGATAATATTTAACTGAGATCAGATACACGCGTCCTCCATTCTTTCCACTAATCAGGGGGTCCCCCAGGGGTCTGTTCTTGGCCCCCTTACTTTCATAATGTAGATACTACTACATTCTGTATCAATCTGAAGGATCACAGCGCAAAGAACTCTTTGATCATACAAACGGTTCTTTAAGTTTTCATGGTGCTATACAGAACCGTTTCCTTTATTAAAGAACCCTTAAAGAGCCGTCATTTTTAAGAGTGTAGAACAATGAAAATAGTCAGAATGAAGGGGCTGAACATCAGTTGGATCAGCCCTGTTTCAGTGGGGAGTTGGCGGGACACCCGGTTATAAATACCCCGGTAGGGTATTTCACACCACAGTGCAGGATCAGTGAGGAGTTGCGGCTGAGCTGAGTGGACACAGCGCTGGAATGAACTCACTTTTCAAACACCACAGCTGCGCAGCGAGGAGCTGCTGAAGGTCCAGTTTCTCTGAGCTGGTCAGGCCCAGGTGATGATCACTTCAAACAGAAGCTCAAACACAGCAGCTGACCTGCTAAACACGGTCCGGCCGGTCTGTCAGGTTCACAGGCTGCCGTGGACGCTGCAGTGTGTTGATGTTCTCAGCCTGTCCGCGGTGCTCTAATGACCGTCGTCCAGCTCTCGGCTCTGCTGCAGCTCAGCGTGGAGTCTGAATAGAAGCCGAATATAAATGATTGGCTGCGTTTCTCTGCAGGACTTTAATGAGGCGGCGCCTCTGATTCAGATTCATTAGAAAAAGAGATTTAGTCACAAAAACCTTCAGCGTTACATCATCAGTCTGTGCGCTGTGAATGTATAATATATAACGCGCTTTCTTCTTCCTCCCTTTTGTGCAGTTGGCAGTTTACGGATGTGTTAGTGCGGTGATTATGGAGCTGGCGGGGGTCTGCGGGGGTCTGCGCAGGCGGAGTGGTAAACCAACCTGTTCAAAGAGAGACTGTGTGTGTGTCTCATTAAGCTCCGTGTGGCAGTGGGGGGGGTGTGGGTGGGGTGAGAGGGGAAAGGGGGCGTTTGGAAAAGACCTTGTGAACGAGAGAAGCTTTCCGCGCCTCGTCCTCATCTGATCCTTTCAGACCTGAATTAATCCACGTTTGTGTTTTTTAACCGGTGAGCGTGTCAGACTTTTTACACTCAGTGTCTTGAACTGTAGTTCCAGAGTGATTTTTGAGACACTGCGATCTCCCACAATGCACTGGTTGTTTCTGTTGAACACTGTAGATCACTATGTCAGCTGAATGTAGGCCAAAGTCTTGTTACTAAGCAACGGACGGAGAAACGTTAGCTAACGTTAACGGTGGCTGGACTCTCTGGAGAGAAAGAGCAACTCTCTACAGTTAAAAACAAAGACCCAAAGCCGCTCGCCGGACAGTGGGGGTGTCCGGCCCAGGCTCAAATGTAGCCTGCAGACAGAATTTAATCGGTGCATGGCTTTTGTTTTGTTTGTAGATTGTGTTATAAGTGCGCAGTACGCTGCAGTTCTTTCTTTCACCTGATGGTGGCATTTAGCTCTGTCACCGATACGGTTCACTCTGACCGGCGTGAACATGCGTTCACAGCAGAGTCATATATGTTTTAGGGGTCATCGCCAGATTCTCAGCATGTACTGGAAGCAAGACGGTCCAACCAAATCAAAGTTGGACACTTTTCAGTCCTTTTCTCACTCAAGCATTTTAGCTCTTCGGTCTTTTCTTCTTCCTCTTCTGCACCTGAGCACCTGAGCCGAGAGGGTCCGCCTCCCCGTCACTGACCCGAAGCGAGAGGAAGCGGTGCGATAAGTTGAAGCAGTAACGTTACGAAATGAACCAATCATGCAGCACCAGAGTTTCCCCCTGACCACCGATTTTAGGAGAACCAGGGATTGGTTCTTTGTTCTGCTCCTGGCTCGAAAACAGCTTTCACACTTGACCGAACGTACCGAAGCAGCTCAGGTTGGGGTGGAGTGAAGTGTAAAACAGAGATCCTCCTCTTCCTTCGAAAAAAAGGAGAGATCAGTGAAGAGCGGCGTCTGTGAAGGGCAGTAGTGAAACGTGGTGTCTGTAAATGAAGCACTAGTGAAAAGAGGTGTTTTTTTGGATTATTTAACCACCACAGTGTGTGTGTGTGTGTCTGTGTGTGTCTGTGTGTGTGTGTGTCTGTGTGTGTGTGTGTGTGTGTGTGTGTGTGTGTGTGTGTGTGTGTTGCTCCTGCACCTTCATGTAAAATGAATGAACCTGTTATATTGAGGTGGAGATGTTGGAGAAAGCGGGAAGTGGCCTCTCTGAAATAGATCTTTACAGAGAATCAATTCTGTAGACCCTCTCACATCTGTGTGTGTGTGTGTGTGTGTGTGCGTGCGTGTGCGTGTGTGTGTGTGCGTGTGTGTGTGTGTGTGTGCGTGTGTGTGTGTGTGTGTGTGTGTGTGTGTTAACCTTGCATCTCCACTCTCTGCTTTATTTACATTGTTTAACAGCACCAGGGGTGGGTTGGGATGGGTTGGGGTGGGGTTGGGGTGGGGTGGGTTAGGGTTGGGGGGGTTGGGGTTGGGGTGGGGTTGGGGTGGGTTGGGGTTGGGGTTGGGGTGGGGTGGGTTGGGGTTGGGTTTGGGGTGGGGTGGGTTGGGGTTGGGTTTGGGGTTGGGGTTGGGTTGGGTTTGGGGTTGGGGTGGGGGTGGGTTGGGGTGGGTTTGGGGTTGGGGTTGGGGTGGGGTGGGGTTGGGGTGTAAGTAAGTAAGTAAGTAAAGTTTATTTATATAGCGCTTTTTACAACAGGTGTTGTCACAAAGCAGCTTTACAAGGAAATGAGCATTACAGAAAGAAATCTGGGTCCGAGCCCCCCTGAGTGTCGCCACTGGCGACAGTGGCAAGGAAAAACTCCCTAAGAGAAACAGGAAGAAACACTGAGAGGAACCAGGACTCAGAAGAGGAACCCATCCTCCTCTGGTCGACACCGGATAGTAAACATTGTTAGTATAAAGTATTATAGTACAAAAAACAGGGTAAAACGTGAAGCAAACAATTAATTTGAATAGTTCAGTTCATGCAGCAGCAGCAGCAGCATCAGTGGGGTCAGGTTGTGGGGGTGAGGTTTGCACGGTGAGCAGTGGCACCCGATCAAGGCAGCAGAGGCAGCAGCATCAGCAGCAGGATGGGCAGCTGTTCAACTCGGCAAAAGAAATAGAGGAAAAACACAGTCAATGGGTGATTGATTAATTTGAATTAGTTTGAATGATTGATTGGTTCAAGTGAATAATTTTGAATAGTTCATGCAGCAACAGCAGTAGTATCAGTGGGGTCAGGTTGTGAGGGTGAGGTTTGCACGGCGTTGTACAGCAGGAGGCTCAATGTTGGTAACCTGGTCCAGAGGGCTGGCGAGCAGTGGCACCCGATCGAGGCAGAAAAGGCAGCAGCATCAGACGCACAGGATGGGCAGCTGTTCAACTCGGCGAAGAAAAGAAAGGAAAAACAAACAGAGAGTCAGTTCTGTAATGAGTGACCGATCACAGATTACAGTGTTAGCAGAGCAGCGGAGACTCTGGCAGGTATAGAACTGACAGGGAAAACTAATCACCAAAGGCTCGACTATACAAGTAAGTTTTTAGCTTAGACTTAAAGACTGAGGCTGAGTCTGAGTCCCGAACATTAACAGGAAGACTATTCCAAAGCTGGGGGGCTTTGTATGAGAAGCTCCGCCCCCTGATGTAGCTTTATTAATTCTAGGTACTAATAGTGAGCAGCACCTTGTGATCTAAGTAGGCGTGATGGTTCATAGTGGGAGAGAAGGTCACTCAGGTACTGAGGGGCGAGTCCGTTTAGTGCTTTATAGGTCAGTAAGAGAATTTTATAATCAGGGCGAAATTTAACTGGTAACCAGTGTAAGGCTGATAAAACTGGGCTGATATGGTCAAACTTTCTGGTTCTTGTGAGACTCTGGCTGCAGCGTTCTGGACTAGCTGAAGCTTGTTAAGGCTTTTGCTGGGACATCCAGCCAGCAGGGCATTACAGTAATCCAGCCTTGAAGTAATAAATGCATGAACTAACTTTTCTGCATCCTGTAGATGCATTTATTAATTTAGCAATATTGCAGAGATGCAGGAAGGCTGTTCTAGTAATATTAGTTATATGTGTGTCGAAGGACAGATCAGGGTCTATAATGACACCAAGGCTTTTTACAGATGAGCTTGATGCAGCTGAGAAACTGTTAAGTGTAAAAT